CTCCCTCCCTCCCTCCCTCCCTTCCTTCTTTCCTTCCTTCCTCCCTCCTTTCCTCCCTCCCTCCTTCCTTCCTCCCTCCCGTTTCTCCGCCCCTCTTTTCTTTCCTTTCAACAGTCTCTCACTGTGTAACCCAGGCTGACCCTAGACTCACAGTCCTGCTACCTCAGGCCGTAAACTGGGATTCTAGGAGTGAAGCATCATGGCTAGGGAAGAATTTGTGTTTATCTAGAGTCAAAAACATTATAGCTAGAGTGTATAATACACATCTGGACTCTAGATTTATGTAATATGTACTTAGAATCTAGAATGTACAGCTGGAATCTGGCCCTAATATCCTCAAAAATGAAGCAAGATCTGGCAAAAAAAAAAAAAATCCGTTTTCTAAGTTAGTAGACACAATAGAAGAAGAAATTAACAGATACATCTATACTCTGGATTTTTTCACCCCATGTTTTCCCAATAAGCAAACTAGTCGCCCTTAATCTATGCTGATAATAGTTTGGAATTCTAATTGCAGAATTTTATCCAGTGCTTACTCACATGCATTTGTTCCACATATTAATGGGGTGATGTTTCAACACTTAACACAATGCTGATCAGAGGACCATTCCCGTTTCTCTGTTTGTGTTTTGAGTCTCCGAGCATCTCTTTTCTAGATCTTCAACTGTGTAACAGCTTTGTTGTGAGCTGTGGTCTTCACACTGTGCCTCAGAGCACCAGGATTTCCTTCTTCTATAAAGCTGTGTTATGCTGCTCTTTTATTTATTTGTGAAAATTTTATTGAGAATAAACTGAACAGCACCTTCCCCTCACCGTACAACTCATAGTACAGACCAGCTACCATTTCAGTGGCTTGGTGAACTGTCACACTCCTATAAACGTGGGTAAGCCCACATTATTTTATCCTTTGTATTTTTTCAGTGCCATGAAGCAGCCCCAAATCTCCTTCAATGTGAACTGCTGTGGCAGCCTCTTTAGTCTGCATCCTCTAGCTTCAACTCAGGATCCCACAGAAGGTAGCAATGGCTTCTTCACTCTGGGGTCAGAAACTCCTGGAATTCCACTTACATTTCACTCATTGTTCACTTCCAGTATGAGCACTTTTCTCTTTGGCCATAATTCCTTCTTTAGATTACCCATTTAAAA